GACGCCGCACGGGGGCTTTCTAAAAAACCGTGCCTTTTTTTCAAAACCCAGGCCAAGCTCGAGGATATTGGCCCAATCATCAAGCACCCCTTGGTGCAGTTTTGAGACTTCACGCACATCCTTGAACCCCTTCAGACAAAATTCCTTTCTCATAGACAAGAGCGCCGGACCCACTCCTCCGTAATTTGAGGAGTGGGTAATCAGACTGTGGAGTTACCACTTGATAACCGCCTTCTTATGTTGTGGTGGGCCAAAGGACCAATAATCTTTGGTCGACAAAATACGAATTGGATCATGATCCCACATGGTAGTCTGATTTTTTGTTGTCGCAACACATCTGACCATAGGTGGAGTCGAAGAGCAGGTCACTGAGCAGCCGAGAAAATCCCATTGCCCTTTCCCATCGTCCGTCTTGATCAAGGACAGGTTCGGATCATAAGCCGTCTGAAAACTAATCAACAGCCCCGCCACTTTTTTCAAAAAGACATCATTGTTTTCTGGACATAACGCAAAGATACTTACGTCTAATACCGCTAATATATTTTGTGTCAGTCCCAACAGATTCTAAAAAACAGTATTGCGACAGAGGCATAAGTGTGCACCATATCAAAACGAACAAACTGCGTAATCATGTCGAAGCGCACGGTAACCCAACCGTTCTCTCCGAAACCTCTCAGAAAGCTCTCTCCTTTGCCAAACTTATTGATTCTCACACTTTTGTGTCCCTTACCAAGTTACCAGCAAAATTGGCACAGACGCATTCGACTGCCTTCATGATGGACTCGTGCGGCAGCCTACTAAACATTTCTTTTATGTCAAAACTAGCTGCTAAGAGGCAGCCCTTCCTCATCCTTGATGCGTGTTGGTCAATTCTTTCCATCTTCTTTCGGAGCAAAGAGGTAGATTTCAGATTGAAACGCAAGGACTCGGGCAAATTCCAAAGCAGGAAATTGATGGCATGGGAGACCACCTTACCAGCCCGGACTCCAGGATCGTTGAATGAAAATGATATAGGCCGCCATCGGGACACGTCCTTGTGCTTAGGAATCCCATAACAACACCCAAGCAGTCCCTTACCGTCCCATTTTGCTATTCTGTCCGTATGGATAGCGATGTACTTTTTCCTGACTGATGCCTACCGAAGTGCTGACCTTGCTACAGTGCTTCGTGCGCACAAAAAGGCCGACCAAAAAAAAACAAAGTCTTGTGTACTGCCAAATATCATAATAACCTGACAGCAATGTTAAGGCCCGTGGCTCATCCTACCGGTATCCCGAACCTTGCCGAGCCTCGAGCTACCGGTATCCCGAACCTTGCCGAGCCTCGAGGTCATAATAACCACCAGTACGTAGCGGTTGTTAAGGCCCGTGGCTCAGCCTACCGGCTACCCGTATCCCGAACCTTGCCGAGCCTCGTGCTACCGGTAGGTACACATCGGAAGAAAAAAAGCGACAAAAAAAAAGAAAATCGACATTCTTCTGCCCCCCCCCAAAAAAAAGAAAAACAAAGATGCCCGTTTTGGGTCGGGTGGAGAGAGAGAGAGAGAGAGAGAGAGAGAGAGAGAGAGAGAGAGAGAGAGAGAGAGAGAGAGAGAGAGAGAGAGAG